CAGAAGCGCAGTTAGAGGAGCTCTGCGGGAGCCAGGTCTTCCCTGCAGCCTTCCCATAACAAGCCTCCTTATCCCCATTTTAAAGAAACTGGATCATAGAGGATCATAAACTCTCTCCAGGATGCAGAATACATATTTGCTTGCCTCTGAATTCCCAGGTCTTAGTCTTCGACATCATCACCTGCCTTTTCCAGGGCTGGGGGCCAGTGACAGTGCATCCAGGCAATGTAGGTCCCCCCAGATTGTCCTCAGGCGATCAGACCTGGCATCCCTGTCGAGTCGGGGCCATGGGGGCTCTGTGGTTGCCCAAACCTGACTTAGTCTGTTGAGGTCTTGATGAGGGGAGGGGGTCACCTCAAGTGGGGCCTGTCCCTCTCCTGAGCAGGATCCGAGGCTCCCTCCACACTCCTGCAGAAGAGTTTGGTCGGAAAGGCAACAAGAATGCCACTGTGTTGGATTCCCTTTGCCTTGGGAGAGCTGCACCCCCCACTCTGCTGCCAGCGTCCTGTGTCTGCCTTTGGAACCAGGTCGTGGGGCTCTCACGGTAGTTGGTGGTGGCTGGGCAGCAGCAGCCTCTTGGCAGTCTGGACAGAACTGATCTCTTTGGGTGTGGGGTCTGTCCGGCGCTTTCTGTCCTGCTGCTTCCTTCCCACATGACCTGGAGAACCCCTGTCCACCCACGGGCTTCCTTCCTCACTGTGGTCAGCCCGCTGCCTCTGCTGAGTTCTTTCTGCTCCCACCCCACCTTTCCTCCTCCACCAGCCCTTAGGCTAATGAAATAAACAAGCCCAAAGAACAGCGGGGCAGAAGAATATCTGTGCAAAGCATCCTACCCTACCTGCATCTTTCTTCGATCTTTTGTGGGGAAGAGGCTAAGCGCCTAATTTTTTTAAGCCATGACATTGTCACAAGAGGATCTGCCACTACCCAACTGGGTCTTGTGAGAAATGTGGCTTGGAACTTAAATGCAGGTTTAGAAAAAGAGCTGAGGGTCAGAGCTGTCCAAACATCTCTTATCATGGCTCCTTTAAAAGGGCAACTTGCTCTTCAGAGACATCCCTGTGCCATCACACACCCACCGGCCTAATGGGTGTGGGTCAGAAATACTGTCTCTACTCGGGCTGCACATTGGAGCCACCTAGGGAGCTTGGAGGGAGAAAACACAGATGCCAGAGCCCCACCCTACCCCAGACAACTCGATCAGAACCTCTCAGGCTGGGCCCTGGGATGGGATGTGCATGATGCATTTGCCCCTCAACCTTAAGGGCCCATATGACTGGCCTGGGGGTCCTGTGAAAGTGCAGACCTAATCTATACCCCAGAGTCCCCAGGGGCTGCCAGGGCTCCTGGCCTTAGAGCACAGGGTAGGGGTGGCAGTGCCATCGAATATCAGGAAAGGACACCCGATGGGTGTGTGGTGCCCTAACCAATATGCTAACTGGACTGCAGACACAGTAGGTCCAGGTCAAAGCACTGTCCTCCTGGGAAGACGGGGAGCCGCAGGCACTTCTGGACCCTGGCTCCCCACGTCTCCCTCAGTGTTTCCACTCCCTGCACCTGTCCTGGGAATCGAATGTCTAACTCGGGCCCCTTCTGTGCCCTCTCAGGTGTTAACTCAGCCAGGGTTAGTGATCAAGTCCACGCTGCGACCTTCTGGTCCTAGGGGGATGCCCTGCAGGGAGGGCTGAGGGCCAGGACACAGCCGAGCAGGTGGAGGGAAGGCTGTGGGACCTGCTCAATGCAGTGCTGGAGCGGAGAGGTCTGACCCCTCATCTCTACTGGTGAAGGAACAACCAGTTCTGGTTGCTAGGACACCAGTCTCTCCCCCTCCCCTCCGCCTGTAGTTGTATTGTTGTGAGGTGGTCCTTCTGGGCGCGTGCACCCATCCTGAAGGCCCCAGCACCCTTGGGAGCGCTCAGCAGCTGCCACCCACCCAGTCCCAGTGGTGGGACACAGACGGCAGCCCAGGCACCTGCCACCTCCGAGCATCATAACACCTTGCCACGTCCTTTCCTGTTTGTGCTCTGGGTGATGGGCCATTCGCAGCTGCAGGAGAGTCCTCACCGGGACTTGGCTTACTGGACTGGAAGGGGGAGCTCAGGTGGTCCACTGATCTGCCGGTAATTGTTCAGTTCCCTCTCGGGATGAAACCCTTGTAGCGTTCATTTCATGCACAGCGAATTATTCTCCAGAAATGGCCCTCCTCTTGTATTTTTCTTATTAAGTTCTCTACCCAACAGCTTCCTGTAGCTGCAGAAAGCTCCCCTGTGGTGCTGAGAGAGAGGACAGGACAGGTTTTGCCCCGGCATTCTCTCCTGGAGGCAGGGTCCCTCCTAGCTCTCCGGTCCTCTCACACACCCACCGTGACAGCAGGTCAAGGAAGCTTCAAGCCACAGCACTGCGTTTTCTAGTCTTTGTCAAGGCTAAATTGTCAGCATCTTCCCCTGGAAATGGAGATGTCAGAACTTTGGGGTATTACATTTTGGTTTAAGTGCCAGCAGCATGAGCATGGGATCAAAGATGTAGGTCAGTCAGTCTCTTCACAAACAGCCAGCACCCTGTGTGCCGGGGTCCATGCAGAATCAGCTGATGAACAACAAAACATAAACTGTTGGCAAACGAGAAATCTGGTGGTGGGCTTAGGAGAAAAGGAATCAGGGCTGTTGCAGGGTGAGAGCTGAAGTGGCATGTCCCTCGGCATTTTCCCGGCTGTTGGCCTTCTAATCTGGGCATGGGTCGAAGTTGGCTTGGAGAGAAACAGCCATGTCCTTGAGAAGACCATGCTGGGCCGAGGAGGCAGACTGGCATTTACACAATGGACCATGCCACACAGCTGCCCAGTGATTCCTGGGCATGGCAGGAATCCTGTGTCTTTCCAGGGAGGTGTGGTGACTGTCCTAAAGAAAAGCAGAATGTCTAGAAGTCTGTTCTGTGAACTTGGGGAAGCACATTAAGTTTTTTCCTAATAATGTGGCCCCTGGGCCACTGTTTCTGAGGAGCTAAAAGTCACCCTCCTTATACAATTGGCACCCAGTAAAGGCCATAGAGCTAAAGCCCATTGCCTCTGTGGACTGGCAAAGTGCTTCTCATCTGCTGCATTTCCTCTTCATCTAAACATTGTTTTAACCTTTGAAATCACAGATCCCCACCCCCGAATTTAGGTTGCCAGAGGAGCCTCCTTTTTGGGGCTTGCACACATTTGATCCATATTTGGGAACACCCAAATCCTTTCCTTTTGTAGAGCTCCCAGAATCCCAAGCCCTTCCAGTCCTGTTCTTGTCCACGGAGCTGGCCTCCAAGCCCCACCTTGACTCTCGAACCTGCCCAACAGATAGTGTCCACCCCAGAAGGCTCCAGACTGGGTGGCCTGACTCAAAGCCCTAATTTGGACTTCCCTATATTTCTACCCTGGGTGGTTCCAAGTCAGCCCAGGGCTTGGCATAACACCTGGCATGTTGAAGGCCGCATTTGTCACAAGTGGAGTTTGTTTGCCTGGATTTCACGCTTGGGGCGCTGTGAGCTAGAATAGCCTTAGCGGCAGGGGCTGAGAAGTGGAGAGTCGACAGTTTGGATCTCAGAAAGGCACCCATATTCCTTTGGGAAGCCTGATCCCTGCAGTCTGAGAAGCACTGCAGTGAGAAGTTACATCACACCCGAGCAGTCCAAAGAAATAGGATATTGTACAGCTCTGAGAGTACAGGGGATTTGGGGGAAGTGCATGGCAGTGTCTCCATGGAGAACGTCGGGCTGGTGCTTCTGAGCATCCATGTGGATGGCTAAGCCTCCCCGCTGCATTCAGAGAGGGAATGATGAAGGCTGTTTGGCATAAAGGGAGAGAGTGCCTTGCCCAGACCCTTGCTCCCCTTCCAGCTGACGCGCAGTGCGGTACGGAGCCTGTGTCCTTGTCTGTAACACGAGGATAAGCCCTCAGCTCACAGCATTTGTGTCAAGATTAAAAGACGGCACCCAGCACTGTGCTGCCACACCACGGAAACCACCCACCAAGGGTACTGAGGGGACATTGCTTCTTAGCTCCATGACGTGCGCCCTCAACATGGGCCGTGAATTCGCTGCTTGCCACCTTCCGTGTGATTCTAATTTCAGCATTTCACAGCTTACTTTGAAAATAGCATCTCAGCCCGGAGTGTGTGCACAGTGCAAAAATGAGACTAGCTGCCCCCCCTCACCCCCGTGGGAGGAAGTGTGAGGCCCAAGTTCACCAGGTCCAGCAGGAGGGATGGGTGGGGTGGGATGGCCCATATGTGCTTCCAGCTCAGGTTCAAGGACCGCAGGGGGAGCACCTATTGTATGCCAGGTGCTTTTGCACAGAGTGGTTCTCTGGGGGGGCCCCTGGGGGCTGGGGAGATGGAGGATCAGTGACGTTCAGACCTCACGTCCAAGGGCACAAGGGACCACAGCCCGGAGCCAAACCGGGCCTCTTTCCATCTGCCGCACATCTGTCTGCTAATCAGACTATTGACTGTTTCTGTCTTCCTCCAAGAGAAACCAAGGCAGTCAACAGGTGCTTTCTGGCCAGAGCAGGCTCCCCAGCTGTCTCCGAGCCAGCCTGCGTCACGCTCAGGTGACCTGGCAACTCTGCTCCAGCTGGGGCTTTCTAGGGCCCCTGGAGAAGTGGCTGTGCCCAAGTGCTCAGCGAGGCAGATCCTGCAAATAATTCACAATTACAACCGATAAGGGACTGCAGGGCGGGCGACCGCACAGAATCCAGAGCAGGCAAGAAACAGTCGTGGCATTCCCGCCATCAGCCCCGGCAGCCCGCCTCCCACCCGGCTCAACCACGGCAGATCCGCGCCAGCCTGGCTGGAGGCTGTGTGAATCAGAGCACAGGGAGTCCCAGGGTGTTCAGCCCTGGGAAATGAACCTACCTGGCTGGTGTTCAGCCTAGACATCACTTTCCTCAATTTACTGTAAATTGTCCTCTGGGCAGAGGTGGGTGTGGATCCCACTGAACTCACACCCTTGTTTTCCCTCTCTGCTAGGTCTTTGCTGCGAAAATCCTCAACTTTGTCCTGCCAAACCTGTCCCTGGGCCCGATCGACTCCAGTGTGCTCTCTCGGAATAAGACAGAGGTGAGAGTCCTTCTGGAAACCTGGGGTTACTTGGGGGCTGGTGAGGGAGTGAAGGCAGCCGCTGAGTTTTAACTGTGTCTGTGGCCTTCTACCACCCTTTCCCTGAGCTCTGTGCCTCGTGATGGGGACGTGAGGATGTGTGAGGCACCGCCTGGCTGCAGGGGTGGCTGGGAAACGGTGAGTGATCGTGATGCCTGAACTGTTTCCTAAACACACAAATCTGCTAACCGGATGAAGCTGCATATGTATCAGCCAAGTCTCTTTTGGTTGCAAGTGACAGAAACCCAACTCAAAGTGAAATTAGGCAAAAAGAGGGATTTATTGGTGAATGTAACTAAAGGGTTCAGTTGGATGGATCCAGGGGCTCAAAGTGTCATTGGCCATCTATCTCTCCCCAGCTCTCATATCCCCTGGTTTGGTTCCATTCCCAGCCAAACCTTCCCCAAGGGAGGCACAGATGGCCACCAGCAGTGTTACGGGAGGAAGCCCAGCAGGAAGACAGCACCTCTTCCCAGCATAAGTCTCAGGACTGAGTCCTATTGACTGATTGTCCAGGCCTGAGTTATTTGTCCAGGAAAGGAGGTAGTGTCAACCCCACCCAACCTCCTGGACTGAGAGTAGAAAAGGGCAGTTCCTGGCAGGCAAACTGGGATAGTGGTAGCAGAGGGTGGAAGAATAGATACTGGTCAGGCCAAATATTCTATGGGGACGGGAGTGGTGCCAGGGCTGCAGGAGGATCAGAGGAAGAGGGTTCCCAGTGGTGCTAACAGCACCATAAGGACCCAGCAGGAAGAGAGGACAACTCATTTGCAGGACAGCCAAGGGTTTGGTTCAGCCTCAGTATAAAGGGCAGTGGGCGGGTGGCTGAGGTCAGGTCACAAGGCACCTCGTGAACCTTGATGAAGGCTGTTTGGCATAAAGGGAGAGAGTGCCTTGCCCAGACCCTTGCTCCCCTTCCAGCTGACGCGCAGTGCGGTACGGAGCCTGTGTCCTTGTCTGTAACACGAGGATAAGCCCTCAGCTCACAGCATTTGTGTCAAGATTAAAAGACGGCACCCAGCACTGTGCTGCCACACCACAGATTGTTCCGTGGTGTGTGTTCGCGCCCCACCCACCAAGGGTACTGAGGGGACATTGCTTCTTAGCTCCATGACGTGCGCCCTCAACATGGGCCGTGAATTCGCTGCTTGCCACCTTCCGTGTGATTCTAATTTCAGCATTTCACAGCTTACTTTGAAAATAGCATCTCAGCCCGGAGTGTGTGCACAGTGCAAAAATGAGACTAGCTGCCCCCCCTCACCCCCGTGGGAGGAAGTGTGAGGCCCAAGTTCACCAGGTCCAGCAGGAGGGATGGGTGGGGTGGGATGGCCCATATGTGCTTCCAGCTCAGGTTCAAGGACCGCAGGGGGAGCACCTATTGTATGCCAGGTGCTTTTGCACAGAGTGGTTCTCTGGGGGGGCCCCTGGGGGCTGGGGAGATGGAGGATCAGTGACGTTCAGACCTCACGTCCAAGGGCACAAGGGACCACAGCCCGGAGCCAAACCGGGCCTCTTTCCATCTGCCGCACATCTGTCTGCTAATCAGACTATTGACTGTTTCTGTCTTCCTCCAAGAGAAACCAAGGCAGTCAACAGGTGCTTTCTGGCCAGAGCAGGCTCCCCAGCTGTCTCCGAGCCAGCCTGCGTCACGCTCAGGTGACCTGGCAACTCTGCTCCAGCTGGGGCTTTCTAGGGCCCCTGGAGAAGTGGCTGTGCCCAAGTGCTCAGCGAGGCAGATCCTGCAAATAATTCACAATTACAACCGATAAGGGACTGCAGGGCGGGCGACCGCACAGAATCCAGAGCAGGCAAGAAACAGTCGTGGCATTCCCGCCATCAGCCCCGGCAGCCCGCCTCCCACCCGGCTCAACCACGGCAGATCCGCGCCAGCCTGGCTGGAGGCTGTGTGAATCAGAGCACAGGGAGTCCCAGGGTGTTCAGCCCTGGGAAATGAACCTACCTGGCTGGTGTTCAGCCTAGACATCACTTTCCTCAATTTACTGTAAATTGTCCTCTGGGCAGAGGTGGGTGTGGATCCCACTGAACTCACACCCTTGTTTTCCCTCTCTGCTAGGTCTTTGCTGCGAAAATCCTCAACTTTGTCCTGCCAAACCTGTCCCTGGGCCCGATCGACTCCAGTGTGCTCTCTCGGAATAAGACAGAGGTGAGAGTCCTTCTGGAAACCTGGGGTTACTTGGGGGCTGGTGAGGGAGTGAAGGCAGCCGCTGAGTTTTAACTGTGTCTGTGGCCTTCTACCACCCTTTCCCTGAGCTCTGTGCCTCGTGATGGGGACGTGAGGATGTGTGAGGCACCGCCTGGCTGCAGGGGTGGCTGGGAAACGGTGAGTGATCGTGATGCCTGAACTGTTTCCTAAACACACAAATCTGCTAACCGGATGAAGCTGCATATGTATCAGCCAAGTCTCTTTTGGTTGCAAGTGACAGAAACCCAACTCAAAGTGAAATTAGGCAAAAAGAGGGATTTATTGGTGAATGTAACTAAAGGGTTCAGTTGGATGGATCCAGGGGCTCAAAGTGTCATTGGCCATCTATCTCTCCCCAGCTCTCATATCCCCTGGTTTGGTTCCATTCCCAGCCAAACCTTCCCCAAGGGAGGCACAGATGGCCACCAGCAGTGTTACGGGAGGAAGCCCAGCAGGAAGACAGCACCTCTTCCCAGCATAAGTCTCAGGACTGAGTCCTATTGACTGATTGTCCAGGCCTGAGTTATTTGTCCAGGAAAGGAGGTAGTGTCAACCCCACCCAACCTCCTGGACTGAGAGTAGAAAAGGGCAGTTCCTGGCAGGCAAACTGGGATAGTGGTAGCAGAGGGTGGAAGAATAGATACTGGTCAGGCCAAATATTCTATGGGGACGGGAGTGGTGCCAGGGCTGCAGGAGGATCAGAGGAAGAGGGTTCCCAGTGGTGCTAACAGCACCATAAGGACCCAGCAGGAAGAGAGGACAACTCATTTGCAGGACAGCCAAGGGTTTGGTTCAGCCTCAGTATAAAGGGCAGTGGGCGGGTGGCTGAGGTCAGGTCACAAGGCACCTCGTGAACCCAATCTCCCAGGAGCGACTGACCTGCTGGGAATACACTTTAGCCCCCCAGGCAGAGCTGTGTCCTGCCTTCTATAGAAGCAACACCAGCTGTGAGAAGCTCAGAAAGAAGAGGGAAAGGTGGCTTTGGGGGAGACAAGCTGGGAGGTTGCAACCAGGCACCGAGGTCAGACAAAAGGTCAAGTAAACTCGTGTACCTGAGAGGTGAAATGGGTTGTCTGAGGTTGCATGGCTAGTAGGGGCAGAGCTGAGTCCTTCTGAGTGAAAAGCATGGCTTGGGTGTCTCCTTCCAGCCAGTGTTTACAATCATTACAGTCTTTTTCCTGTTCACAATGAGTGATCCACACAGCCTGTGGCTGGAAGCCACCACCCTGCGTGCAGGATTCATTGTGTGAGGGGGATCAGCACAGGGCAGGGGCTCCTCCACCTGCCAGCAGCCGCATAGAGGCTCTGGCTGGAATGTGCAGTCTCTAGTAAAGTCAATCATCTTTGCAGCAGCTGCGCTAGGACGACGGTGGGTTGAGAGCAAGGGGGGCCTCCCTTTGAGACCGTTAAGACAACACATCCAGGTGCAAAGCCACGTTGTTCATTTTACCACCTGAAAACACATGAGCAAAGGAAAGGGGAAAAAAAGAGATTCCAAACCCTTTTTGTTTAAAAGTAGCAAATTTCAGAGCTCATTTCTCATTTTTGAAATAATGGAAAATTCCATCGAAGGCCTCATAAAATGGGAAGAGTCTGGTGTGAACATGAGGCGTGCAGACCCTCCCCTTCTTGGCTCTGTCCCTGCCCGCATCCCTCGGTTGCACACCATCATTTAGCAGGTGTCGTACTGGTCAAGTAAAAGGGGTGATTCTTTGGAAACACTAGTGAATTTCCTGGTGGGAAGACTTGGAGGAAGGGAGGTGGCTGGTCTGCCTGCAAGCTGGACTCCAGTCGGAATAAATAAGGAGCAAGGGTTTGCATCCTTCAGCAGAGAGAATTCGCCCCTCGCCTGTCGCCACTCTGAATCTCCCTTTGAACATTCTGCTGAGCTTTAAAAATAGCAACGGCGAGGGAGAAAATGTGTTCAGAAAAGGCACCCCCCCCAGATCTAACATCGGGGTGTCTTAAGGCACATCTTTAGCTGAGATCTTTCCTGTGGAACCCTGCAGCTATAAAAGTCTCAGAAGGAGAAGAAACGCTTGCCTAACAAGCTTCCTAAAGCAGGACAGTGGTGGATGGGGCCGCGGGCTCAGGATGAGGGGGTGTCGCAAGCTCTCTGGGAAGGCTTGGGAGCCCGTCTCTGGGTAAGCAGGCTGGCTCTGTCGTTCGCATGTCAAAAACGGGATGTTTGTTTGGGGTTTGCTGTGGCAAGTGTTCTCACAGCCCACCCAGGACTGTTGGCGCGACTGCCTGCAGGAGCCTTTCCTCACATGCTGCCAGCCCACATTCTACCCGCCTGTGTGAAGCCTCTGGGAGCAAAGGCAGAAATGCCTTGTATTGTTTCAGTGTCATCCACCACATGGCTTCTTGTGCCCTTGTTCTGTGTCAGATACCCTCGCCCTTTCGTCTCACCAAAGCCCCGAGAAGTCAGTCTTGTTACCAATATTTGCATGTGTGGAAGCTGGGGCCCAGAGAGGGCAAGTCACTTACCCAAGGATACACAGCTACTATGTAAGGAGGTGAGCCCAGATCTCTCTAGTCCAGGCCAAGTGCTTTTGGCCCTAAAATCTTGAGAACAAAGAAGTTGCTACTCAGACATTTTTTATATTTGTTAACACATTTAGAGCCCCTGATTAGAACACGGGAGTACTGACATTCTGCTCTCAGCACTGGGGTTTTCGGCATGTGATGACTCCCTCCCACTCTGAAAATCCTTGAATGTTCTAAATAATTCTCCGGTCAGGAGGGCTGAGGGGAA